ATATATTTGAGGGAGAAAGAGAAAGAAAATAATAATGACAAAAACAAACATGCACAAATGGCAGAAGCTTCATCTGATTCGAATCGTTCCGGACTTGCGTTCATGTTTAAACGTGAAGTAGAACAAGAAAAACAAATTTCATTTCTTCTGGATTCAGGAGCATCTGACCACTTAATTAATGACGAGGGTTTATATAAGAGTTATACGATTTTGGAAACACCTATAAAAATTGCAGTAGCGAAGTGTGGCCAATTTATAAATGCAACAAAAATTGGCACAGTGGAATTGTTCACTAATTCTGAAGCGAGAGTTATTTTGAAAAATGTTTTGTTTTGTTCAGATGTTCCACACAATCTCTTGTCAGTAAAGAAAATGCAGGATGCTGGATTAACAATCTTGTTTCATCCAGGAGGTGTCTCTATTAGTAAAGCTGATGAAATTTTAATAAATGGTAAATATTTAGATAATGTTCCTATAATTAACCTCTCAAGTCCAAATAGGGCATTTCTTTCAAATTCTGTTAAAACTAATAATTATAAGTTATGGCATGAACGATTAGGGCACATAAGTAAGGGAAAATATTTAGAAATTAAATCACATAATATGTTCGGAGATATTGAGATGCTTAAAGATATAAAACCTAATGACGACATATGTGAAGCCTGTATTAGCGGCAAACAAGCTAGACTAAAATTTGAAAGATTTAAAAATAAAGATTATATTAATAGACCATTATTTGTTGTCCACTCAGATGTCTGTGGTCCGATTTCCCCTGCGACTATTGATAAAAAGAATTATTACGTTATTTTCGTTGACCAATATACCCACTATTGTGTCACATACCTATTAACTTATAAATCTGACGTATTCTCTGTATTTAAGGATTTCATCGCTAAAAGTGAAGCACATTTTAATTTAAAATTGGTTAATTTATATATTGACAATGGAAGAGAGTATCTATCTAATGATATGCGAGAATATTGTGTAGAAAAAGGCATTAGTTACCATCTTACAGTCCCACATACTCCGCAATTGAATGGTGTATCCGAAAGGATGATAAGATCCATTACAGAGAAAGCACGCACTTTAATTAGTGGTGCGAAATTGCAGAAGGAGTTTTGGGGTGAAGCTGTTTTGACAGCTACATACTTAATTAATCGAGTCCCAACCAATGCATTAAATGAAAGCAAGAAAACTCCTTATGAAATGTGGCATAGTAGAAAGCCCTGTCTCAAATATTTGAGAATTTTCGGTTCAACTGTATACATCCACAAGAAAATTAGAAAAAGAAAGTTTGATAAGAAATCGTGGAAGGGTATATTAGTTGGATATGAACCGAATGGATATAAGGTGTGGGATGGAAAATCAGGAAGATTTTCAGTTGCTAGAGATGTTATTTTTGACGAAAATAACATGATAAACTCAAGAGTTGAGTTAAGTGAAGAAATCATTGATTTCGATAATGGGATTATCGAAAGTTTAGATGATGATTTCAATAAAAACAATCAAATTGATGATCAATTGGAAATTGATAGTGATGGTTCTGATGGAGTTTCAGATGGAAGTCAAAGAAAGATGGTAACAGAAAAGAATGCCGATCCAGATGTATCTGGTGATGTTGAATCTAATGATTCAAAGATAAATGATGAAACAATTCGAAAAAGTGAACGGATAAGGAATAAGCCGAAATTGTCTTATTGGGATATGTTAAATAATTGTGTAATGAATGCTCAGTGTTCATTAGATAATCTACCAACTTCATTTAATGAAATAAAGAATAGAGGTGATAAAGAAAAATGGGAAGAGGCAATAAATGAAGAGTTAGATTCACACTTACTAAATAACACTTGGACACTTATGCAATTACCCGAAAATAAAAATGTTGTGGATTGTAAATGGGTATTTACAATAAAACGGAATGAATTTGGTCATCCGATTAAATATAAGGCGAGACTCGTGGCTCGGGGCTTTACACAAGAATACTTAATTGACTATAATGAAACCTTTGCACCTGTAGCAAGAATTTCTAGTTTTAGACTGATTATATCTATTGCTAATCAGTATAATCTTATGGTACACCATATGGACGTTAAAACAGCCTTTTTGAATGGTACACTTAAAGAAGAAATTTATATGAAAATACCGGATGGTCTGGTAAATGAGAAAAATGAAGTTTGTAAATTAAATAAGGCAATATATGGTTTAAAACAAGCTGCAAGGTGCTGGTTCGATAAATTTGAGCTAGTACTGAAAGAAATTGGTTTTGTTAATTCACCAGTAGATCGATGTATATATCTTCTTGATAAAGGAGATATATCTTCAAACATTTATGCTCTATTATATGTAGATGACTTGGTAATATCAACAAAGAATAAAGAAACTATGAAAAATTTTAAATCATATCTAATGAATAAGTTTAGAATGACAGATTTAAATGAAATTACATTTTTATTAGGTATAAAAGTAGATAGAACTAAAGATCAAATAAAGTTAAGTCAATCTGCATATATAAAGAATACTATTTTAAAATTTAATATGGAAAATTGCAATCCAGTAAAATGTCCTCTTCCCAATAAGCTTAATCATATGGCCTTAAATTCAGATGAAAAATGCGATGCACCTTGTCGAAATCTAATAGGATGTTTGATGTACATTATGATATGTACAAGACCAGATCTGAGTGCATCAATAAATCTTTTAAGTCGTTACTGTGAAAATAATAGTATAGAGTTGTGGCAATGCCTTAAGAGAATTTTAAGATATCTAAAGGGTACAATAGATTTGAAATTAATTTTTCAAAGAAATAAACATTTTAATAACATTTTGGTAGGGTACGTAGATTCAGATTGGGGAGGCAGTGAGTCAGACAGGAAAAGCACAACTGGGTATATCTTTAAAATGTTTGATTCGAATATGATTTGTTGGAATACGAGAAAACAGAGTTCAGTAGCTGCTTCTTCAACAGAAGCTGAGTATATGGCATTGTTTGAAGCAGTAAGGGAGGCAATTTGGCTAAATTCTTTATTGACTAGCTTAAAACTTAAAATAGAAAATCCAATTAAGATATATGAGGATAATCAAGGTTGTATATGTATTGCCAAAAACCCTTCATGCCATAAACGAACAAAACATATAGATATAAAATATCATTTTACAAGGAACAAATAGAAAAGAATCTAATTGAACTTGTATATATTCCCACAGATAAACAACTAGCGGATATGCTAACAAAACCGATACCAGCGCCACGGTTTTGTGAATTGCGAAACCAAATGAGTTTGATGGATTAATCAAATGAAGGAGAAAAGGATCTCATGGATATGGACTGAACCAAAATAATTTTTTTTAATTTTTTATTTTGCTAAGAAATATTGTATAACGTAATTTCTAATTTCAAACTGGTTTGATTGAGGTTTTTCTGGGTTTTCCCTCAATCCAAGCAACGAATGTTGAACCATATTGTAATTTCCCAGAGCCTGCCATATTGCTCAAGTTTGATTTAATCTTAATATATAAATAACAAACTATTAGTTATGTTTTTGAGGAGGTGTGTTAGAAGACCCCTAATATCGATATATTATTTGAAGAACACACTTGATATCGATATTAGTGTGTCGTGGCAAAAACACAACTAATAGGAGATGTCCACACTATTCTGCGTGGTCTCTTCCTCTTCCTGTTTTATTCTTCTGAGAGAGAAGACGTGTTTATCTGATTTTTATTAAATAAAATAAAGTGCAGTGCAACGAAAAGAATTGAAATAAAAGGAAATATTGAACTTGATTAAAACGTGATTAAAACTATATACTGGATGGGTGCTGATTAAATGGGATTGCGGAGATATTTCTAGATTCATCGTGCAGCTTCTTTTCTGAGAAAACAGAAGCTTCTGAGAACCTCTTTTAATTAATATACTCTTTCTTTTTTGCCTTCTTCTTCGTTATTTAGTCTTCTACTCCTTCTTTTTTTTGGATTCTTCTTCGTTATTTAGTCTTCTACTCCTTCTTTTTTTTGATTCTTCTTCGTTATTTAGTCTTCTACTCCTTCTTTTTTGCCTTCTTCTTCGTTATTTAGTCTTCTACTCCTTCTTTTTTGCCTTCTTCTTCGTTATTTAGTCTTCTACTCCTTCTTTTTTGCCTTCTTCTTCGTTATTTAGTCTTCTACTCCTTCTTTTTTGCCTTCTTCTTCGTTATTTAGTCTTTTTTGCCTTCTTCTTCGTTATTTAGTCTTCTACTCCTTCTTTTTTGCCTTCTTCTTCGTTATTTAGTCTTCTACTCCTTCTTTTTTGCCTTCTTCTTCGTTATTTAGTCTTTGTTTACGCCAGGAGGCCCCTGCTCCCCCTCTGGCCACCGAGCGTCCAAAAGCTTAAGCGCTCCCAGCTTAGCAACGCTCGCCCGCTCTCCGCTCCTCGGTATTACCGATCGCACGCTCCCGTGTTCCCGATCGTCGCTCGCTTCTAGGGACGGCTACGCCGGTCTAGTTCACTGTTCTCCCGCTCTCCCGCTCTCGCGCCGTTAAGCTGGGCTTCTCCGCCGGCAGCGGGCCCTTAGGCTAAGCTAAGTTTAGTACCGAATCGAATGCGAAAATATATGTATGCTACGGGCACTCCGCCGTTGTCACTTTTCGACCCCCGAATTTTCTGCGTTTTTTCTACTTCGTGGGATAACCTTTTATTGATCCTTTTGCGGAGGTTTGAGCAGCCACCCCACTCCTAAACATGGTCCTTCGAGCCGGATAAGGATATCGTCCTGGAATCCTTTTTTTCCAGGAGCTTGGTGGTGCCGCCGCAGAAAAGATAAGTAAAAAGTTTCCTCCCGTCTCTAATTGCCGGTCGTCAACAGTTGTCCGAAATTTAAATTTCACTCAACCTGCAGACGATATTTTTGTCAACTCCTAGTCCGAGTTTTCCGACACCACGGCAATTAGACAACTTAAAAATCATTTCCAAAGCCAATTTTCCCCACTTCCATTTGCCTGCACTTCGTTCTGCAACGGCATAATTATCGCCGTTTTTTCTTCCACTTCTTCGGACCCGTTGTACATTTCTCCTGCACTTCGTTCTGCAACGGCATAATTATCGCCGTTTTTTCTTCCACTTCTTCGGACCCGTTGTACATTTGTCCGTACATACATATGTTACATACATCCCAATACTCGGCCGTACATTAACGGATAAAACGGTCTTGACATACATACATGTAATGTAAATCGGCGCGCATTACTCCGCGAGTTGGTTGGTCACTTACTTAGAGTGGTAATTGACATCCTCAACCTTCAGCCGAACAATATATAAAAATTATAATAATAAAATAAGTGAAAGTGTGTTTCAAGTCGAGCGCCGCGGCAGTGAAAATTCTACAGTGAATATTTCGTGTTGCCGAATTCGGCCCCCTACCCGAGATTTTATTCTCATATGTATATTCGGTCACTGTGTGTTTCCCGCCGCCTCGATATTTTCTTGAACACAATTCCTTCAACTTCAAATAATACAGTCCACTTCTCGACGCTCTACTGTACTTATGCCAATATATAAATATATTTTCGGCCTCCAATATTTTTTGTACGCCCTCACAACTCCAGTCCAGTTCTCGGGTTTCCACTGTACAAAATATATTTTCTGCCTTCAATATTTTTTTGTACGCCCTCAGCAGTTCCGTTATCGGGTTTCCACTGTACAAAATAAAGACAACTTTTCCATACATATTTTGCATGCTCATACAATTGCATACGTATTTATATTTTCTGCCTTACATACAGGAATTAAATAACCATCAAACAATAACAAAAATAACCAAGATTTTGTCTCCACATCCACATAACCGCCGCAGCAAACGTGTTGTTATTGTTGTTGTTCCTCAAGTTCCGTTTTGGTCTCTCTCCTGAGCTCTTCACTTAGGCTGTGTTTTGCCGACGGCTTTTCTTAAACCAAACTTCGATTTATGGTTGTTTTCGGACCCCCGCACTAACCGCCGCATCAGCCGTGCTGTTGTTGTTGTTGTTTCGGTTTCTGTTCCTTTCGTCTCTCATAGGCGCCTCACTTATGCACTGCTTTGCCGACGGCATAGCCCAGTGAGTTTTCCCCGAGTCAAAGCCAAGGTTTATATTTTAATTCCGCCTTTCCGGCTCCGTATTAATTACGTGCAAATATGTAAATAATTCACATTAATTATTTCCGACATTAATAATTAATTAATTTTTTTTGTTATCACGGACTATAATTAATAAATTAATTTTCCAATTTAGACAAACTCCCCTTCCGAGCCACGAAATATATATAGACATCTTTGCTTCCTACTCCACCACGATCACGGACAGTACGGTCTACGTTCTGGTTGCCGACTCTGCTTTCCACTTCGAATCAGGCATCCTTCGCTCAGGTCAGTCGACAACCGCTGATCCGCCGAGTCCCAAATTGAGTTTGTCTACTGGAAACAACAAAAAACCACTGCCAACCCAAGGGCAAAAAGCGACAAGTCCGTCGATTCTGGTCCCGTTCCTTCGCCAAGACTCACTCAGTCGGTTTCCAAAATGGCTCAAAATGCCCTAGACATCGCCCTGCGAAAGTTCATTTCGACGACAGCCCGTGTTAGCCAATTCGAAGCTAACATCCACATTCCGAGCGCTCCTGACACGGAGAGGTTTTCCCCCGCCATGTGCCGGATCCATCGGGACCAAATTCGGGCCCTGTGGGACAAGGTGGAGAAAAGCTATGAAAGCTGCTCCGATCTTCTTTCCGTGTCCTCCGACAGTACAGCCACCGCCACTGAGCTTGAATCCAAGTACAGTGAGTGCTACTCCTTATATACGAGGTGTCTTGTACAGCTGCAGGAAATTATCGACAAGGCCGCCTCCCAGTCTATTCAGGCTTCCGCCCCTGCGCCCACACTCCCGTCCATGGGTTGTCGATTGCCACCAGTGGACACCGAGGTCTTCACAGGCGATTATCTTCGGTGGCCCACCTTCCGGGACCTCTTCACGGCGATTTACATTAATAATTCCCGACTTACGCCTGTGGAGAGGTTATTCCACCTACTTTCGAAGACAAGCGGCGATGCTCATGCCATCGTTTCAAAGGCCCCTCTGACCAACGAGGGTTTCGTCTCAGCATGGAGCAGCCTTTCCGACCGCTTCGAAAATAAGCGCTTGTTAGTCAACAGTCAGTTAAAGATTCTTTTTAACATCCAGGCTGTGCCTCAAGAATCCGGAGTCGCTCTAAAAGAGCTCCAAGGCACAATTCAAAGCTGTTTGACCGCGTTACAAATGTCCTCCATTGAAGTCGAGGCGTGGGACTGCCTTCTTGTGTATATGGTCTCCTCGAAGCTTCCCAAGATTACGCTCTCCTTGTGGGAGCAATCAATTCACAATAAGGCCGAAATTCCAACCTGGCGTGAGTTGGACGCGTTTCTGACCGAGCGCCATCGCACTTTGGAGGCCATCGACGACGTCAGGCCTAGCGGCTCTGGGCATCTTCCGCCAAAGTCAACAAATGCCAATCCCCCGGTGCGCAGGCTCAATTCATACGAAGCTAGGGTGGCTCCAACACCGAGAAGGTGTAATCTATGTTCCAGAGAAGACCACCCTATCCGTATATGTCCGCTTTTCCTAGACATGAATGTCAATGAGCGGACAGACTTCATCCGAAGAAAGCAACTCTGCTTGAATTGTTTTTCGCGAGGGCACCAGCAACGGGACTGTACTAGTGCCTATTCCTGCTTTACGTGTCACAGCCGGCATCATACTCTGCTGCACCGCGACAACCCTGCGGCTACCGTTCCAAGACCCTCCGCTCCATCTAGTCCTCGACCTGCACCCATCCAAAGGGTTTCCTCGTTTTCCACCCGAGTGACCACTTCTGCCGATTCCTCCAATTACTGGGTTCCGTACGACGACAGCAAGAGCAGGCGTTCCCGAGGTATTTTATCCTACCAATGCCGAGTCTGCCAAGGGAACCATCCGCTCCGGAAGTGCCAACAGTTCCTCAAACTCTGCGCTGAGAAGAGGCTCCGAGCGGTTCTCGACCACCGCTATTGTTCCAACTGTTTGGCCCACGAACATTCCGAGGGGAACCTGCCGCAGCGGTGACCGATGCAAGACGTGCAATCAGCACCACCACACTCTCCTGCATCCGCATGACCGTCCAGAGCATCCACTCCGCTCGCAGCATCGGTCACCCCCATACTTCTAGTTCGCATTTACTTGACCATCACTCATCTCCATGTCATCTTCTTTCATCCAGATCACATACGAGGGCTTCATTTCCACACACCGCGATCGCTCTGGAAGGCAGACGTACTCGAGGTTCTTAGTCCTACCATTGCCGAGTCTGCCAACGTTCGGCCGCT